CACAATCACGGGATAGGTATCATTAAGCCCTAAGAAAGCATACCTTAGCCCTTTTGGGAGCTCCTTTAGGTCCACCTTTGGGGCTAGCAGCTCGCTCCAGTCCTCCTCGTGGCTCTTGTTGATGTTCCCATCCTCAGTAGCCTCCTTAGAACCCGATATATGAGCCTTTAGACTGCCTTCTTGAACCGTTACTTCCTCCGAGATTGAGTCATCCAGTCGATCTTGCACTCATTCTGGTCCGTATCGAGCAACTTCACTCGATTCACCCACTCGATTTGATGTGGATCGAGCAGGAGATCGAGTCTCCGTCTCGTTCTCTGAATTGAACGATTGGCTTCTCTCGATCTTCCCATTGATTGTTTTACTGGATCGACCAGTCTCCTCGATCTTCTTGTCGATTGCTGTCCTGGATCGAGTGATCTTCTTGATTTCCTGATCGACCTCTAGGCATCCGCCTTCATCTTCTATCACAACTTTCCTAGAATCAAGGAGATTAACGTACTACTGAGTCCTCTAATCCAAGAAACCGTACTCTCCTCTCTCCTTAGTCAAAGCAAGCTTCAAGTGATCATCTTGTGCGAACTCTTCAAGCAGTTCATCGACCAAAGCATCCAACGTTTCAATGTAGAATGCTTGTCCTTCTATGGTTGGCTTCTTCAGGACCTCATTGATGTCAAAATCCAGCTTTATGTATTTGCCAAGATGCAGAGCTATCTTCCCATTTTTGACATTGATGATTACTCCAGCGGTTGCAAGGAATGGTCTTCCAAGTATAAGCGGATCCTTAGGTTCTTCATCCATCTCAAGCACCACAAAGTCAGTTGGTACATTGACATCGCTTATTCTCACTGGAAGATCCTCTAACATACCCACTGGAAGTCTCACGCTTCTGTCAGCTAACACAAGAGAGATCCTACACTGTTTGAACCGTGTAAAACCGAGCTTCTTTGCTATAGAATGGGGCATGAGATTTATACTTGCACCAAGATCACACAAACAGCTCTTAAATCCAAGCGACCCAAATCACAGGGAATGGTGAAGGATCCTGGATCTCCTAGCTTCTTAGGAACAATCTCCTTGTGAATAATGGCACTACACTCTTCACTAAGCACCAGACTTCTTTACTCTCATTGTTCTTCTTTGTAAGGGTGTCTTTGAAGAACTTATCACACTTTGGCATCATAGCTAGGCAATCAACAAGAGGAATCTTGATCTCTACATCCCTTAGACCGCTTGTAGTTGCCTTGCCCTTCTCTAACTGCTTGATCTTGTTATTCAGGTTTGTTATCTGAGTTGAGACGTCAGTGAGAGAGGAGTCAAGACGGTTGTTCATCTCGGCAAACTTCTGATTAATGGAAGCTTGACCTTGAAGCAACTGCTGGAACATAGCTTGGACCAGGTCTTGTTGTTGCGGTTGCATTTGTTGTTGTTGTGGAATGAAGCCGGGAGGATACATAAGAGTGTAGCCCTTGTTGCCCTACTGTTGCTGCTGACCCTGAAAGTTCCCTTGCATATGCCCTTGGAAGCCACTATTCGCTTGAAAACCCTTATTGTAAGGAACAAACGGCTTTGCTTGCTGAGGGGGGTACACCTGATCTTTAGGAGTCTCTATGTTCGTGCTCCTGTAAGATAAATTGTTGTTCGCTTGGTATCCTTGTGAGTAACCCTGATTCTTGTTGTAGTTTTGACCAGCAATCCAGTTAGCTTCTTCTTGGCTCAAGTCTAGCTCCTCTAAGACTTCATCCACTTCACCAACAAAGAGAACATGCTTCTGATTAGCAAGCACCAACTTGTCTATCTTCTCGTGCAATGATTTGAGCTCCTTCTTGTGAGATTCTAGCTCGGAACTGCGAGGTGCACGGTCATAGTCTTCAGCATAGTTGCCGTCACTCAATGCCAAGTTCTCGATTAGCTCCATACCCTCTTCTACTTCTTGACCAAGGAAATTACCCTTACTAGCCATATCAAGTAGCAACCGGATCTTGGGTAATGCTCCTCTGTAGATGGTGCTTAGGAGAGTCTCTTCACTGAAGCCGTGGTCAGGACACTGAATAGTATAGTCCTTGAATCTCTCCATGGCTTCATTGAATGTCTCGTTGTTCCTTTGTGTCAAGCCACTAATCTTACTTTGCAACCTTGCTGTTCTTGTGCTAGAGAAGAACTTTGAGAGGAACGCCTTCTTACACTCAGCCCAAGAGGTAATGGTGCCTTGTGGAAGTTTTTTCTCCCAATGTCTAGCCTTGTCTCCGAGAGAAAATGGAAAAAGACGCAGCTTGAAAGCATCTTCGGATATGCCATTAATCTTGATCATCCCACAAACTTGCTCAAAGTTGTCAAGATGCTCCAAGGGGTCTTCCATTGCCAGCCCATGGAACTTGCTATTCTGAATTGTTCTGAACCGGTGGAGGAGTGATCCCAAAACGATTGTGATGCGTATTAGGAGCATCTCCAGCACCAATGATCCGTGGGGGTCTAGCCGCGTGGATGGGGTTTCCATTGCCCCGTCCTACAGCACCGTGAGCTGGTGAAGGTCCTTCAGGATGTTCTTGCTCAGCCATTGTTGCAAAGTCTACTGAACCGGCCTGAACAATCTCTTCAAAAGCTCTAGCTTGCTCTCTAACTCTTCTTGATCTTGCATGCCCAAGTTGATGAATATTGTCTAGGGGTGTAAGTAAGTTGTTGTCACCCCTAGAATGCAGATTCATGTACCTGAAAGACACAAGTTTGAAGGCAGAGAGATTAGTAACCAAAATGAAAACAAAGGCTTAGTATTTACTAAACCCCAAATCTTAATGTTTCCTAGCAACCCTAAGATGGCAATGGCACCATTTGATAACAGGATTTTTGCAAGCAAATGTATTATCAAAGCCCAAACCACAAGTTATGATGTAGTATAGTATTAAGGGGAATCAATACAACCTAGGGAGCAGGAAGAGCCACTAAGAATGCAAGGATCTAGTAAATCTAAGCAAACATGACAAATGATAGGTAAAATCAAGAAAAACTAAATGCAGCGATCTAATGCAATGCAAAACAATTTTAAAATCCCTGGAAGAGGGTTAACTACCACTAGGAACAAGCAAAAGATTAAAAATGCAAAGCTACTAAGAACTAAAAATCGACCAGTGAATCGACCACAAGATCGAGCACTGGATCGAGCAGAATGGATCGATCTAATAAACAACTTAAAGCGATTGACTTCTAATGAACAAAGATGCAACTAAATGACAAGTAAATGATGAACAGAGGTTTTAAAATGCTAAAAAGGAGGGTCTAGGGTCGAGGGTCATATTCAAGGGTATCAAAGATTTAAGCTTTGGTTTGAAAAACATTAGATCTACTCTTTTAAGAGGTTTCTCTAAGCCTTGAAAACAAAACAAGAACCATCTATGCCGTGTGATATGGGTAACTTCCTCAATCTCTTCTCCAAACCCATGGCGTTTGGTGGAAAAAGAGATCGAAGAGAAAGAAAGACAGATTTCAAATAATGACCTAACTAATCCCCTAAACAACCATGCCGTATGGGATAGGAAGGATTAGCCTCTAGGATCTGGTTTTCCAGAACATCTGAATCCTGTCAAGGTAAGATATCCTTTGGTTCATAGGGACCTTTTCTAAGGCGCTCTAGGCTTTAAGATCCCAAGATCCTATAAGAGAAGGTATGAAGAACAAAGAAAACACAAAACTTAAACCCTTTTGACCCTTTTTGAATCGCCTCAACCCTTTACCCTAAGGAAACTACTCGCGATTCATAAATAAAACCGAACAGAATGCAAAGGATAAACAGCTAATCATGATTAAACGATGGATTAAAGTAAAAGACTTAATGATTTCAAGATTCAAAGGTTCAAAATGCAAAAAAAGCTTAAAGTCTACAATGGCGAAAATTGCCTAAGGAAGAGGAGAACAAAAAAGTAAAAGACAGAATGGAGGATAATGAAAGCGATGGCTGTGGTTTGCCAAAAATGGCTAAACCGCAAATGGTCCCCCCTTCGCTAGCTGCCAAAACCAGCTGGACGAATAAGGTTAGTCTGGGATCGACTCGGGTCACTCGATCTCCGGCTCGATCTTCTCTTGGATCAGATGACTTTGCTCGATCTTTGAGTCGATCTTTTGATGATCGGGTCGGGAACTCGATCTGGCCCTCGATCTGCATGGCATGGTCCACGTCCGTACTCTCGATCGACCTCCTCACTCGATCGTATGCTGGATCTTCCTCTTTAATCGATTAGGGGTCACTCTATTTTCTGGTCGATCTCGTCTAGATCGACCTGCCTTGCCGGATCCGCAACTCGATTTCAGGTCCTCTGCTGAATGGTTGAGTTCTCTAAGTGTCCACAAGCTTCCTCACGAGGTTTAGCATGTCCATGAATCCTCCACAGCTCCAAAGTGTCCAAAAACAACATGAATATGATGCATAATGCAAGAAACATGCGAATGCTAATGCAAAAGTATTCTAAGAGCTAAAATGGTGCAAACTAGCCTATTATGCACAATGAATGCATGAATAACTATCCTAAATATATGCAAAATATATAGTAATATCAGTACCTTCTTTAAAGAACTTCACATAGACGGATGAACGCTTCTGGACTCATGTGAATAAGAGTACGATACGATAATTCATTGTTGTAGATTTGCTCTCGTATTATTTTCCTACCTTTTCCCCACTCGCTGTCCATTGGTTGTTTACAAAAATTCATTGTGTAATACTCTGACAGAGGATGAATGTACCTTTGAATAAATTCTTCTTCTTCCAATGACATTAGCTCCACTAACTCATCTTCGTCTAAATATTGTATTTCACGTAACCCTAATTTTATAATATGAAGTTCCTACAGATATATATATATATATATATATATATATAAATGAACATGGTTATTAATATTTATAAATATATAAGTTTTATATAAAAATAGCAAATATGAAAAAAATCAAAATCGTGTAAACTAAAAATCTTGCAAACATTAAAGTTCCAAAACACTCAAATAAAAACCTAGCAAACAAAAAAACTCCACTAAAGCGAGCTTATCACCATCACTTCCATCATCAAGTATATTAACAATATTTGATTCTTTTCTTGTTGATTCTTCTAATCCAGAGGAAGGCACTCCAAAAAAGCTCGTGAAATCAGATCTAACCATTTGAGTTCCAACCGAACCACTTCCAGTCTTTCCAACATTCTGAAAGAGGTTTTGACTTGTCATTAGCATATCAACAAAATTGCATGGATTCCTGTATCTCTCAGTGCCAAGTAAATTCTCCAAATATCTGATCTTAAGTTCTTCACTCTCCAATTTTATAAAGGCTTCACATACATCTGCATCGTTTTTCAATAACTTATTTGCTGCCCACCAAAATTTCCGAGTTGTTCAACTAGTAATTTTTCTAACATAGGAATCGCATCACCATATGTTAGTTTTTGATTTTTTTTTTGCGAGCGTAGTTCTTCCTAAAAATCTTGACGACTATCGATAACACGCTGAAACCCATTTTCGGCCTGCGTTTCAAAGTTTGTTCTTCTTCTTGGAACATGACGGGTTGGCGTGCTTCGAATTGACTGTTGGGATCCTTGAGCATTAGTCACCTTCACAATTGGTTCAACACTTAGATCTTCTTACTGGTTAATTAACATGCCATCATTGATAGCTAAAGCAGGTTTAACTTGCTGAAGTTGTAGGCCAAGCATATGTGGAGAATACCGTTGATCTTATTTGACATAATTTTCACCAAAATTTGGTCCAACAAATCTTTGAATGGCAATGGCTTTTTTGCAATATACGAACAAGTTTTCCTTTATTTTCATATTGCTGTGAAGAAACTAAAAAAATTAGTACCTAGAATCATTTATAAACGAGAACAGATGTAATTATATATGATATAAATAGAGAATAACCGCAGTCCAATCAGTAGACCAAGATTGCATCGTTTCTATTTGTCGAGTAGATGGATTAACAGCAACACCAGTGCGGTTTATTAGTTAAGTGTTTGTAATCCAGTGCAGTTTATTAGTTAAGCGTTTGTAATCCAGAGTTTATGCAAGTAACCAATTTTGTTATTTATCTTTGGATACCAAGAAATCTTATCTCCCATCAACTCAACGTAATTGCTCTCAATTCTTTTAGCAGCAACATCAGGCATTCTACTACAGTAATCATCTTCTTTTATCTCCACAATGACGAGTTTAAGCATAACTAGAAATTTTTTATCATTCCACACATACTAATGTATATATTTTCTAATAGTTAATTTAATATGTTCATATTAATACATTAATATATTTACAGAAACGAGATTATATAAAAATAAATACTTAGGCGTTCACTATTTGTTCTGCCATCATTTGTGTTTCTTGCTTCATCATTCAATTGACGTCCACGATGTACTCCATTATTATTTCTTGAACTTGAGATGATTCCTCTATGATGAATACACATGATACATGAGTTATTACCAAACATCGATTAAGCATAGAATAATTATAATCATAAAAAAAGAAATTTATATCCAGCTCCTGTTAGAGATGAGATTCGTACCATCTCTACAAGCTCGATATGAATTCTGGTCGGCCCATCTAACAAGTTTTAGGTCGACGATATAAATGGAAATCTTTCATTTATCGAGCGACCCGGGAAAAAAAGAAGTTCTTTCTTGTCGCCAAGAAGATTTTCCTATTCTAAACCTGTTGAAGACCGACCTGGTCAGCTATAAATGTAGGAAGTCCCCTTCTTCTCAGATTATCCAAAAATAATCTATCAAAACCTAGGGGAAAACTAAGCAATCTGGTTGTTCTAGCTTTCGATTTACTTTCCATAAAGGTTTAGGTCGGCGTTCTTATTCCGACGACCTAAACTTCCGTGTATTCATTCAAGCTCCGGCTTCTTCTAATAAAAGACTTCTCTTTTAACCCACAAACCCTAGTTCTTTCGTAGATCGAACTTGAGTTTTTACAGTTGGCGCCGTCTGAGGGGAATAAGAGAACAATCTTTGACTTAGAACGGAGTTCAAAGATGGTTGAAACACCGATCAACACCACCGACCTCACAGAAGGACCCACCGATCTTGCAGGGGGAACTGCCGATCCAACGAGAAACGCACAGGGTCCGGTCGTCGACCCAGTCACTGGACTCCCCGTGATCAACGTGACCGATCAGCAAGAAGACACGACATGCGCGACAGATCAGGTCGGCCGCACCGGTGGAACAAACACAACCAACCTGCCACAACCGCCTCCCATCGACATGGCCACCATCATCAGATCGGTCGCAGCACAGTTGCAACAGGGGATGGATGCTCGCTTCGAATCCCTCCGTGCCGAACAGATCGCCTACAGAGAAGACCTAGATCGGCTTCTCAACTCTAGGGTTCATACCCAAGAGCAGGCCGATCTAATCACCCCTCCTCGCCCTTTGATCCGCAACACAGATACGACCAGGCTGGTCAACAACCTGTTCGGCACGACACCGACAGATGACCTGCAGAGAGCACAGGCAGAAGGCTCGAATGCTCGCTCATCCTGCAATACCGCAGGAACCGACCTGACGACGACCTCGGAACTTGATCTTCTCCACCAATGCCTTGATGATATCCACATCAAGATCCACAAGGCAATGACTTCAGCACCAGAATTGGATAAGATCCTCCAGGAGACGCAGCAAACCCCGTTCACGTCGGCTATCACCAATGCTCCTCTTAAGGACATCGGTCGGATGAAGCTACCTCCGAGTTACATCGGCACGACAGACCCGAAGCGACATCTGACCGCATTCAACGCAGTCATGGGACGCGCTCGCTTCACCGACAAGGAGCGGGAAGCATGCCTCTGTCAGTACTTCGTGGAGACGCTCTCCGGAAGTGCCCTCACTTGGTTCTTGCAGCTTCCCAAGAACTCCATCAATAGCTACAAGGAGCTCACAGCTCGGTTCCTTAAGCATTTTTCAATCTATATCGATACGGAGTCCACAGCACTCGATCTATGGACGTGCGTCCAGGGCGACACGGAGCCGCTACGCGATTTCATCGATCGGTTCCGATCGATCGTCTCCCAGTGCAGTCTGTCGGACGAACTATCCCTCAACATTCTTATCAGGAACTTGAGGGATGATTCGTCGTACTGTGAGCGATTGAAGACAGGAAAGATCAAAACCCTAGAAGATACTTTACACATGGCAATCGGCTACATCAGAGTCGAGGAAGATCGGACAGCCAAGGCCAAGGCCAAGTTGGCCGACGAGAAATCTTCGCGCGACAAGAAAGCCAGATTGTCGAATCAGGATGATTACAAAGAGCCCCGTCAGCACTACGACAAGGTTGATAAGAATCGCAAGAGTATCAATGCAGTTGGACGACCAAAAAAGCCATGGAACGTTTGGGACCGTTCGAGCGACAGAGACCCCGACAGCAAGAAGCCGTGGTGCAAATACCATAGAGCAGACGGTAATCATACTAATGATTGCTGCACCCTCCCAGCCCTCTTGAGGAAGGTATGGGATGATGGTGAGATCACCCTACCAGAACCCCAGAGTTCACGATGATCCGACGAAGAGGACAGGCGAGCCGATGGCGATCAAGATAGAAGAGCCAATGACGATCGTGATAGAAGAGATAACGCCAATCACCCATCTTCTAAACGCGAGGGCAAGGAAGCAAAGCGTGACCGGACGATCACACACCTCCAAGCTCACCACGTCGGCAGATCATGGGAGGGCTCCTCTCGTGCACCGACTCGATCAATTCGATTAAACGGCACGAACGGAAAGCAGCCAACCCCCCGAAGGATGCCCCACCGCTGTTCAAAGATGACCTACCAATCACATTTACAGAGCAAGACGCGCAAGATATAGACCGACCTCATAACGATCCACTCGTCATCTCACTACGGCTCAGAGAAGACGACATCTCCAAAGTCTTGATCGACACTGGAAGTTCGGTCGACCTCATCTTCATGGATACTCTACGCAAGATGAGTATCCCCGAGCGGGATATCAAAGTCGCGCCATCACCTCTCACTGGATTTGCTGGAGACTCCATCTCGACGATAGGAACTGTAACGATGCCTGTTACCATACGCGGAAAGTCAATTACGGTCAAGTTCGAAGTTATCGACCGACCTGCGATCTATAATGCCATCCTTGGAACACCCTGGCTGAACGCCATGCGGGCCGTCCCTTCTCCTTACCACCAATGCATCAAAATGCCGATCAGGGGCCGTGTCATCACTATCTGTGGCGATCAGACAGTGTCCTGACATTGTTACATCGACAAAAAGCGCGCCCGCAAAGCATCGACGTTCGTGATCGGCAGTAGCAGCGACTTTGATCCACAGATTATTCATCATGATGAGTGATACACAAGTTTTTGGCTCTTGAATGTTTCAATCACCCTTACAGTTGTACTAGTCAGTTGTAGTGTAGTATGGGTTTTATGTCAATCCAATGGGAGGAGATGAAAACAGAAGAGTTGAGAGTAAAATCTCTAAGTCAAGCAAGCAGAGAATTGGTTTTGTTGCCTAAGCAACAGTTCTAGCAACCTAAGTGAAACAGGCAACAAAAGAAGTGAAAACAAAAGCAATCTAAGCAGTTCTAAGCAAGAAAAACAGAGTAAAACAGAGCAAAACCAAGATTCAAATAAGAGAAAGACAAGTCTCTAGATGTGGTTATTGACTTTGGGGAATTTCAGGCATTAACTAGGGCTGTTTCAAACCACATTGATCAAGCAAGCAAGCAAGCAATGGTGATTCCTAGACATAGAGTTCACACTTAAGCTAGTTAGATCCAATCTCTTGGCAAATAACCCTTTGCTAAACATTCTAACAAGAACTAACTCTCATTAGTGCTAAAACATCAAGCAAGCATGATTAAACAACTCTATTCAAGTCAAAATGCTCCTCAAACAGTCAATCTCTTGAGCCAAGGCCAGCAAATCCTCTATTAAACATGATCAGCATTTCATCAAACATTTGGTGGGCATAAGAGAAAGCTAACAACTTATACAAGTTTGATCAAGACTAATCTAGCATGAATAACAGATTAATAGAGAAGAACCCATAGAATGAAGAACATAACAAGCCTTAATCAAGCCTTAGATTCCCCTAATCTACCACATCTGGAAACCCTAAGATAACTACTCACTCATAATCATGTTTAACACCAAATCACAAAGGGAAAAGATGCTAATCATGATTAAAGGAAAGATTAAAGAAAGATTAAAGCAAATACTTGATTATATTAAACAAAACAAAGAAATTGTTTTACAAACTTAAAAGAAAAGCTCAAGAACAGTATTTTGACATGACTTCTTGAAAATCTGGAAAAAGAGGCTATTTAT